CCAAAATACAGCTTAGAGACAAACATCCAAACTATATTTTAGATATTTTAATACATCAGTAAATATTATATCTATACCCATTCACCTGCATGTTTATATCCACATGTGGATAATACATAGTATAATATAATCTGTAAAAGATATAATATTTATATCACATGTGGATATAAATATGCAGGTCAATGGGTATAGATATACTATTTACTGATATATTACAGGTCAAGCACTATGTGACTTTCTTTTGATATACATTATTTAATCATCCTCTAAGCTCCACATTGGGCTTTTTATCACACATAGATTTAACAATTCAATTACAAGTGCACAAAATAACTTAAGATTACCATCTGACAAGATTTCTACCTGAAGACATAAAAGAATAAAAGAGAATGAGTGGGAAATTTATCTTCAAATGCCCCCATATGTTACTTATCTAGACTTCCCTCAAAACTCCCTTTAAAACCTTGCCCTTTACTGCTCCTGAAAATGTGCCCTTAGCTCAAACGCCAGGAAAATATTTTTTTTAAATCAATTGTCTTTCGAACTTCTAAAAACCCAGGTGTGGTGCGGCGTGGTGGCTCATGCCTGTAATCCCAGCACTCTGGGAGGCTGAGGCATGTAGATCACTTGAGTCCAGTGTTGGAGACCAGCCTGGGCAACACAGCAAAACCCTGACTCTACAAAAAAAATACAAAAATTAGCCTGGCATGGTGGTGTAAGCCTATAGTCCCAGCTCCTTGGGAAGCTGAGGTGGGAGGATCACTTGAGCCTGGGAGGTCAAGGCTGCAGTGAGCCAAGATCATGCCACTGCTCTCCAGCCTGGATAACCCAGTGAGACTGGAGATTTTCAAGGATTAGGGATGAGTCTGATTATTGTTAGTTCTGCCATATATTGTGACTTTAGAACAAATCTCTAGAAAAGTATGTTCCCACTATATCATTATCATCTCCATTTTATAGATAAGGAAACTAGCCTCAGAGATGGTAAGTAATTTGCCCAAGGTCAAACCATGAGGAAAGTGGAGTCAGGATCTTAACCAACATCACATATCTGAAAGCTCAACCAAAGAACTCACCACCTCTGTAATCCTTTTCTTTATATTGAGCCAAAAATGGTGCCTTTCAACTTCCACTCTTAGAACATAAAAAGCACAAAGCCACTCCATCTTCCATATGATGGCCCTTGAAAGTCTTACAAAAAGCTGCACCCCTGAGCCTTTTCTTCTCATCAGTAGGCTTAACACTCATACTTCCTGCAATCATTTCTCCTGTGATTTGATTTCAAGAGTCCTCAGCCTCCCAGACACTGTTTGACAGAGCATAACACAATTATTTATTGTTCTTCTTATGGCCTAGAAAGATACAGAATTCTCCATCAGAGTGAGAGAGTTAAGGCCATCATTTGTTGCTTATTTGTTTTTGGAGGCTGGAGTATAAAAAACATCTCACTTTCCTCGGAAATCTACTATCAAAAACTAGGAGCACAAGTGTGACAAGAAATGGCAAATGTCCTTCAGCCTCCACGTGAAGGACAAAAGGGAGTGGTGGAGGCTATGGTGAGCTGGAGGGCACAGGCGTTATGCAGAGGAGCATCCTCTCTTCAACTCCAGATGGGGTTTACAGGAAGTCATGGGGACCCAGGACCACGTGGTCCTGTGATTTTTCATAAGAAGCTGTAAATTTAGATTTCTGTGTAAACATGCCAATTTTTGTGTGGGGGCAACAAATTAAGTAAGAATTTTTAAAATATGCAGACCCTCCCCGCACCCCACACACACTTCTGGGTCAGATTTGGTCTGCAATCTGCCTGCCTGTGACCTCTGCTCTGAGTTACACACTCATTCATGCCAATGCAATCAACCCATAGCAGCTTCATCAAACAGCTGACTCACTGGATCCCAATTCGGATAAAAATCCTAAGGCTTCTTGCACACTTGCACAGACACACACACACACACACTACATCCCCTACTTTTTTTTTTTTAACTTAAAAGTACAGCAGTTTTCTCCTCTCCTTGGGGAATATATTCTAAGACCTCAGTGGATTCCTGAAACAGATTTCCACCAACAGAACAAGTTTCTGTTAATGTCTTCCACCTAAATTTAATGTATTTTCACATCTTAATGAAGAATTTATCACACACTGTGGCCTTAACTTTTGCAGTTTGAGATGCAACAGCAAAACCATCATGAATTTTTATTCCTTCATCATGATTTCATGGATAGAAGATTCGGTCTGATCCTAGATCTTAGTAACCTCAGCATATGACTTTTTATTTCCTTACCAAGTCAAAAACTCTCACCTTTTCACTTAAAAGAAGCACTTTATGACTTCTCATTGGCCTGTCTGAATTGCCAGCATCATTCCTCTTGTACTTTGGGGTCATTTATAAATAACATAAGGGCTACTTGAACACAAGCACTGTGATACTGTCACAGTCGATTTGATCACCAAGGGGGATACTAAATGACTCAGAGGTGGACAGTGTCTACAGCACGGATATGCCAGACAAAGGCATGAGTTACATCCTGGGTGGGATGAAGCAAGAAGACTCAAGATTTCATCATGATACTCAGAACAGTGTACAATTTAAAACTTGAATTGTTTGTTTCTGAAAATTTTCATTTAATGTTTCTGGACTGTGGTTTGCCACGGTTAAATGAAACCATAGATAAGGAGAGACTGCTGTAGTTATCAACTTGAAATTTGACATTTATCCCTTCTAATCTTGCCAGATTCGGCCAAGGTTCCAGGTTTTCAAAATCATGTATGTCCTCCGAATCTGTCTCCCAAAAGTCATACAATCACAGGCCAAACAAGTTAATTTGTTTGGATATTACCACAATTTACAACTTCCTAAATTCACATTTTCCCCTTATCTAATTTATGGTTCCAAGGCACATAGATCCTTGGTGAACCCTGCAAGATTCTCCCTAAAAATTATGCAATGTTTTCTGTACTCTGAAGGGTGACTGTGGCAACTCCACAGACTAAGAGGATCTCTCCAAAGGGTGCTAATGAATGTGCCACATATTTGGGGATGTTCCTGGAATGATGCCAAGGTCATGTCCATACTTGAATGGACAACTCTATCCAACTTGGAATTATAGTAAAATTTATGACAAGTATTGATATCGAAGCCATAATAAATGCATCACAGCCATTTAATCGAATCCCCTCAATTGACACAAGCCCCAAAATTTGCAGCAGTCCTGGAATCCCCTAAAAAAGTGTGAATACAGCCCTGAGCTTGTAATCTGCAGGTTTCACTTTGTTCCTCTGAAGACTGGGCAAAAATTTGTTAGAAGAATGCCCATCCTCCTGAGGCTACACAGGTGAAAATTGAGCAAAAAAGTATTATCTTCCAAAACAACATCTATGAGGATGAGCAGAGGATACGTTTAGTGCATTTGTGTGGATTGCACAAGCATATGGCAATAATGGTATCTATGAACTTAGGCTTGCCCCTCTAGGGTAGAGCTCTTCAGGGCAAGAGAAGGAGCATTCTGCCACACGGGGCTTCACACCAGGTTCTCAATCAGAACAAAAGGCTTAGGAAACTACAGACTGAATCATTTGTTTGAGCACATGATGACATAAGTATACAGATACCATCTCTTATCAGTGTCTCCTTTCTGGAATGACATGGTAATAGTAAAAATAGTGTAAAACTTGTGCATTGTTAAAATCAACCAACAGCATTTCATCATCCGTATTTTTTCATTGGTACAGATAATCTCCTCTGACTTGGCTCAGATCTTTCTAAACTCTGAATAGTTAAGGACATACGTTTAATCAAACCTGCCCACAGAATACAAAGCCCACTAGGAAACCCAGGCAGGACTATGTGTGCAGGTTCTAAGCTAGTCCACCTTCCGTCTCTAAGGACAATTATCATTCCAAGCTCAGGAAACAGTCTATGCCAAGCTTGAGTTTCCCAGGAATTAATTTCTTTGTTAATTAGACATCTCAAATACATCAGTCTTTATTTCTGAAACTGTCTCTGGCTTAAGATACAGCCTCCTGTAAGTCACAACAAGAAGAAATCAACACCTCCCAGACCTTTTCTACCACAGGGAAACCCCTAAAGGTTTTCCTATCTACCACAAAGTTCTCAATACTGGGACCAAGTTTTTCCTAAAACCTGTAAACAGGAGCTAGTAGAATATAAGGAAGGGCAGAACTCAGAACTCAGAGTTATTGTATTTTTCTAAAATACCTGAATAGATTGGACCTAGGGGTTCTCTTAACAATTTAAAGGAGAAAGGGTCAATCATTCTAAAAATTCAAATCCTTTCTCCCTGAGGTCTCTGCTGCAAAAGCAATGGCAACCAATGTGCTAAGAAAAAATAGGCAGAAACACTAAATTTGGTGGTTCAAAAGGACTCCTTCAAAGAGCATCGTTCCTAGAAGAATCTGGAGTCAGAAACATAGCTAATTTGAATGAAGAATCTAGCAGAAATGTCCCACAGCCAGATTTCCTAAACTATCCCACTGGTTATATTCAAATTAAGTTAGGTGGCACATGAGTGAGCTTATTTTTATTTTAACATTTATTTTAATGCATATTAACAAAAATTTTAATACACCAACCTCAAGGACTTTGTTGTCTTATAATGAAGCTAAATTAGTTTTTAAGTTTGAAAAAGTAATGCATTTATTAGCACCACACTCTAATCTACTGAACTTACTGGCTACCCCAAAGAAGCAAGGCATTTAAAGAAAATATGTTGAGTAAATAATATTATTAGGCACAGAGACTTGGCAAAAAATGAGAAGATGGTATTCCGCTTTCCAGGGAGAGGAAAGCAGCATCGCCTGCTGCAGCCACCTGCTGATTCCAGGGTGTCTCTGCCGTCAGCCGTCTCCTCCTTTGTGAGGTCATTCTGGCCTCCAGCCCTTCAGAGCATGGGATGCTCAATCAGAACAAGGCCTTGGAGACAAAAGAAGTGGCAACAAAAGCTGTGAACACTTAGGACAGCTGTAGATAACAGCTTACCTTAATGACGTCTTCGTCAGCAGACTTGCATTCCACAGACTCAGACACGTCAACCACAGAACCATCCTCCTGAACACCCACGACTTTGACGGGAACCGAAACAGGCTTTCCGGTGAGAATGGCAGTGTTCAAAACCTCGGTGTCCTAAACAGGAAAGGAGAGGGCTCAGATCAGCAAACACGCACACCATGGGAGCGAGGGAGAGCGGGGTGGCCACCAGGCTCCCTACTGCCTTGATTCTCATTCTGCAATTTAGACAGTTGTCTGAAGGGAGGAAGCCAAGAAGCTCACACAAAATGGAAGGTTCTAAACAACTGGATGGCATCCCCTCCCGGGCGGAGATCATCAAACCTGATGGTTGGTTGGAATGTCTTCTCAGTCCCCAGGCGCAGGGTCATCCTCCCCCTCCCTGACCTCCACTCCCTCTCCCATACTTCACCCCTGCCACCCTCCATCCCACAGACTCACACATAGCACATGAGTTCCTTTCTGTATTTTTCAAATTTTGGCTGAAGGATCATTTAGTAAGTGACTGCCTATTTTCTGATTAACACAGTGAAAAGAGACTTCATCGTGATTTTAAATTTGGAAAGACAACAGCAGAAACAGCAGAAGAGCACTCATTGAACATTACAAGCCTCTGCACGCCTGAGCTGACTGCTGCACCCACCACCCCAGCACCTCCAGAACCCCCAGAGATCTCCCTCCAAACCCAGGTATTTCTAAATGCTGATATATGTGTTTCTCACTTCCTCTGAAGATCAATCCGCTCAGAGTTCTATAGGTTCTAATATGCATTCATAATTTATCTCAGTCTGTCAAATATTTGCCATCCCCACTACCAGCTTCCCCACTCAAGCCATCTTCTCTCAACTGGACACTACAATACCTTCCCCAATTGTTTTCCCTGTGTCCATTCTCTTTACAACAAAGATTATCTTTTTGTTTCAATATAATGCAGATCATTTCTCTCCTAGATTAAAACTCTTTGAAAGTGTCCTGCTATTCTTAAGATAAAATCCAAACTCGCTGACATGGAATGACCTAACCTTGTCATCTTTTCCTCTCTCTCCTGCTCCTTTCTGTCCCTCACCACAGTTGAACCTGTTTACATCCTATCAACAGCATCTACCACAGGGTACTTCCCCTGTGTCTGGTTCCCTGATCTGGAAAATGGGGATAATAAAAACAGCTACTATATGGGGACTTTATGAAAATGTAATAAATCAATTAATGCACAAAGCTTAGAAGAGAACTGGTACATACTGAGCAACAAGAACTCAATAAAGCCAGCTGTTACAGTAAGTTCTCTACAGTATTTGTTCCATGAATGAATTAAAGGGCCACCGATAGATTCACAAGGGGCCTGTGGGGGAGATGCTACTTCGTACTTGCCTGAAGAGAAAGAGAGTCAACCAGAGAAGATGGTAGACACCTGGCAACACAGCCCAGCAATGCGGGTTCCCCAAGCATTCCACAATTGGCTCCACTAGAATGAACCAACCAGATAATTATTTCAGTGTCTCCCAGACTGTACCAATGAGATCATTATTCAGTACTGCTCTCACACTTGCAGTTCCTAACCTCAGCTCAGGCACTAAGTGGGTTCTACATTCAGCCCCTCACTCTCGATCCCAAACCTCACTGTGAAGTCTTCATAGACTAAGAGATGGAGTCAACCTTTAATAACAGTAATAATAATTGCTCAAACTTAGCTATGACGTATGGAACAGGCAATGTTCTATGTGCTTTATGTGTCATTAATTCCTCATTCAAGTTTATCAACAAGATAGTTACAGATATTATTTCCATTTTATAGATGATTCATTTTTCAGTGATATTAAACCTGCAAATAATAGCTACTTTTTAGCAGAAAACATCAACTTTGTAATGAATTTTTAAAAACAATAACAACCCAATTTAAGAAATGTGAAAACTTCAGTTTGTTTGTTTGTTTTTTACATCTGTCCTCTCTTCTGGATGAAATTCTAAAGAGATAAATCCAAAAGAACAGAATTATAGTCCATATTCCCGAGTACTCCCCTCTCACGAGGGAGCTTAATTCTGTGCACACTTACATATATTTACATGAAAGCACACAGGACTGGAAGCACTGTGGAAGTTGAGATGAGAACTCACCTAGGTGGGGTAATGATATGGAAGTGGGAGTAATCACATGAATACAAGGAACAGAGTTTGTATCTTAGTCCCAGAACAAACTGCTAAGTTCAACTCAATCATGCAGTTGAAAAAAATCAATACAGGTATTTTTTGTGTGTGGTGGGCAGGCATCTATGTTGTCTAATGAGCATCCCTCCTTCCTTCCTCTTTAATAACAATGTTTCATTTTTTTCCTCTCTGTATCACCTAACTCCTGCCATCAGTGAATGTGGCCTGGGTAACAATGACCCCAGAACACCCAATCAGACTTCACAGAAGAGCACATGACCAAAATACAGTCAATCTAGGTATTTCAGCCCTTTGCCCACAAAGACAGATTCATGTGAAGCCCAAACTAAAAAAAAATCAGACAAGAGTAGGAGCTAGAAATATTCCTAGGAAAGATTTCTAGGCTCCTGAATCCAACTATACCTGAAGTCTGTCATCATTGGAAATTTAGGTATACCAAATTAACAGCTTTACTGAAGTTACTTTGAGTTGGGTTTTTTTGTCAGTTGCAACTAAAATTCTTGACACATGAAGACAGGTAGCAGCCTAGACACTAGGGAAAGGGAAAAGTCTATACATCAATCTCTACCTTATAGAAGCTCACAGTCTTCAAAGAAGATATTACAATATATTTCCCAAACTGAGTTTCAAGAAAGGTGACTTTATTTTTTATAATAATAAATCATAACTGATGAAAACTTATGATTGTATTGCACATAACTTTGCCACCATGTTTCCTTCTTCAGATTTTTCCTGGGTAGCTGAGATTTTGTACCTTTTTTATTTTGTGTCCATCAACAGCCTCTCAAAACTCCTGAAGGCAATTCCTACCTACCTAGCCAATGAGAAAACAATTTACCACAGTAAATGTTACACTGCAATCGTCCCCTGATCCCAGAGATGCTAAAAATTCCTAAGCTATCAAAAAGCAAGTATTTTATTCTACTCTTATTTGTGTGAGTTCTAGGTTTTATGGCTTTAAGAATATTTATAGCCCTTTATGACTATGTGTTTCTATTAATGTTGCACGCTAGAGTGATGTCAGTGAAAGGGCAGTCAAAACATCAGAAAATTCTCTTCTCCATAAAAGCAATGAGGAAACTGTCAAACAATGTCAAGATAACTTTTTCATAACTCTGGAAATAAACCAAAGGTTTGTAGGCAACCAGGAGAACATTTATTCAAGAAAAAAAATGGCTGATTCTTGATAAAATCAGAGAACTTTGAGGCATTTTAACTTGACCTGCTTAAACCTCATACTTTCTAGTGTTATAGTAGCTTTGGAAAAAGAACAGCCTACAGTGACAGTAAAAATCAGCAGTCTAGAAGCCAATGGAGAGGGCAGATCAGGGCTGGAGAACTTTCAAAATCTCATCCCAAAATAATTGTTATTTATTGACTTGTCTAATGGTTCCCAGAAAAACCCCACTTGCAAGGCTGTCAGTATTTGGCTTCACTCTCAGTTCACCCAGCATAGAAAGCTCTTTCCCTAGACATACTTGCCAGGAAACTGTTTGACTTTTAGCTGCCTGAGGCAGTGGATAACAATTTAATCAAAAAGCTTCAAAGGAAAAGATAAAGAATGAGATGTCTGTAGTGTCTTTGAAAGGCTATGGCATATTCCTGGGAATCTACAAGATCATAATCATACTTAGGGCTGTGTGCATGCCTAGAGCTGTGCTCATCCACCGGAAAGACCAGAGAATAGACCTAAGCTCTCACCTCTAGTTGATTTCGAGGCTCTGTGAAAGCAGGAAGTGAAAGCTAAGGCTGGTGCCAGGTATTTAAAGAAATCTCTGCCTAATCATTGGCTGACCACCAAGCTAACCAAGCAGAGACTTTATAGACTCTACAAAATTAGTTTGCAAAAGTCACTAAGCAATCAACAACTACTACAATAAACAACAACAAAAACAAACTTGGGGGAGGGAAGGAGTATCTGATTCCAAGAGTTGCCACATTATATCATTTTAAGCCTCCAGCTTTGAACAAAAACTTATGAGACATGCAAAAACAAAAACAAAAAAATATGGTCCATACACAGTACAAAATGCAAACAAAGCAAATTATCCATGAGAAAGCCAAGGTGTTGGACCTACTAGACGATAATTATAGATGTTTGTTCATGACACACATCTTGTAGAAAGATGTAATTTTTATGACAAAAACAAAGATGAATGTTGTATAAAATGAGTCAATCCACATGAAAATATAACAATTATAAAACAGATACATCTAAAAACAGAGCCCCAAAACACATGAGGCCAAAACAGATACAATTGGAGGAAGAAATTAAAAATTCAACAATAAGAGACAGAGACTTCAATATTCTACTTTTGGTAATTAATGGAACAACTAGTCATAAGATCAATAAGGAAAAGGAAGACTTTAACAATACTATAAAGAAATAAGATCTAACAAACATCTATAGAACACAGTACTCAGCAACAGCAGAATACACATTGTTACTGCATTTACATGGAACATTCTCTAGGACATAGATGATAATTATTTTAAATTAGATATTTTGAATATATTCAAAGAAATAAAGAAAATCACATCTAAAGTACTAAAAGTATGAGACGCTGGGTACAGTGGCTCACACCTGTATTCCCAGCACTTTGGGAAGCTGAGGTGGGCAGATCAGGAGGACAGGAGTTCGAGACCAGCCTGGCCAACACGGTGTAACCCCATCTTTACTTTAAAAAAAAATCAGCCTGACACAGTGGTACATGCCTGTTATCCTAGCTACTGGGGAGGCTGAGGCAGGAGAATTGCTTGAACCCAGGAGGCAGAAATTGCAGTGAGCTGAGATTGTGCCACTCTACAAAATTAGTTTGCAAAAGTCACTAAGCAATCAACAACTACTACAATAAACAACAACAAAAACAAACTTGGGGGAGGGAAGGAGTATCTGATTCCAAGAGTTGCCACATTATATCATTTTAAGCCTCCAGCTTTGAACAAAAACTCTA